TAACTGATTTCTTTAGCCATTTTACTTAATGGCAGCACCCCTCCCCACCCCCCGCATTTAGCTGTTTTCAGTTGGGGAAGGGTATTAAGTGTTGGTGTGGGATGGCAATTTTCCGTCCCTGAGATGGAATGATGTGGGTGAATGGAAGTGGACTAAGAGTTACCCGTTTGCCTGGAAGACCCCTGGCCTGTCCTCTTTCACTTCAGCATACCAACCGGCATACCTTGAACATCCATCCATCCTGCTGCCTTTATAGCTATTTCCCTCGGAAACTAATGTGTGGGAGCACCTTCTGCAGAAAACTGCTCTTGAATCTGAATCAGATGAGTCAGTGACTCTTAAATACCGATTAAGCCTTCACCCTCCCCCCTTTTAAACTTGTGACCTCTAAGATTCTTGTAAAAAAAAAAATAGGGTTAGGGAAACATTTTTAGAATTTAATAGGATTAAGGACACCTGGAGTGTGGGAGCTGTTGAGCTATTATGTTTACCTTTTCGAATATTGGACACGTCTTCGTCAGGAACGTAGGAGAATTTTAAGTGCTAATTTTTACCCTTCGGCTGTATTCAAACACACCATTTACATTGATTTGATAGAATTTACATTGCTGAACATGTTGGTGACTTCATCAGCTTCAAGAGCACTCCAGTTTAAGTTTTTGCTTATTTGGGCTGTCCTTATGTTTCCGAAACGAAATTCTTTACTTTTTACGTATTTTGCCTCAACGTAACAGCTGCCTGGAGGAATAAAATTGTAGTAGCAGTTTTTTATTGAGGAGGGATTTAATTCCATACAGAATATTAGCACCCATTTTCTTGTAACTAAGTTCAAGTTTTGTTTATCTTTGGAGGTTTGTAAAGAATTGAGTTAGGACGAGTCCTTAGGATGAATTCCTTTAACTAAAGTGCATTCCTTAGGTCAGATCTTCCTGAAAGAACTTCAAAGTCCAATACCTGCGCTTATTTAACATAAAATAGATAGAGAAATGCCAAGCAGCGTTTCCCCCCACCCCCGCCCCCCAAAGCACACGCTTCTGATGAGCGGGTGTAGAAGGAGGAGGTAGATTGCTGCAGTGTCAGTGCAGTCTAGAAGCAGAAGTGGCCGCCATGTTCTCTCTCTTTTTGTGAATCGCCCTCATTTGCATAGCACACTCTTCATTCATAAAAAGATAATTAAACATCTATCACCTTGGACATCTTAAAAGGATGTCACAAGAAAATAATTCAAAGCTTGTTTGTTTGCCTTCATAGAGATTTTTGAGTTCAGGAAGTAAGGATAATTTGAAGTTTTAGGTTAAATTTAAAAACATACGCACACACAAACAACTACCCCTGTTCTCAGAATGTTGACACAGTTATGTGGGAAATATCAGTTCGGGGAGGTGCTGGGATCACGTGATCGCCTCCATTCATAAAATACCTGGCTGTCCATTCACAGTGCAGTACACTGTCTCACTGCCTTCCGCAGATTAGATATACTTTGAGGGAGATCTAGAAGTCTATCTCAGATCATACGTGGTTAGGAGAAAGACTGCTAAAAATGCTGAATGGAGTGATGGTAACTTTTATTGGTATCTTTCAAGAAAGTATCTTGGATTAAAAATGTTAAGTTCTATTTTAAAGATGGGAAGAGACGTTACCGGTTTATTTATTTTTTAAGCAAAGTGTTTAATATCCCCTTGTGGCTGCAGCTAATACAAAAGCAGATGATGGAATGTGAATTGACACACATGTAAAATATATTGTTTCCAAATGGACCCCCCCACACTTTTTTTTTTTTTTTTACCTGCTATGGCTAAATTGAGAGTGCAAGGTTTTGATGACAAAATGAGAAAATATTGCCAGTGATTAAATCCCGAAGGTTTTGATATTTGAAACACTGAACGGCAATCTTCTCTAGGAGAATGGCTGCTATTTTTTTTTTTTAATCGTAAATGTACCCAGTGTGGGACAACTTGGAAATGACCTTACTCACCTTAGACTTTTAAAATTCTGTTTTCACAAATTTATCCTGCTTTATTAATAAATTATTCCTTAGGAACTATGTAACACTATTAGTTTTGGTAGGACAAGAATAATATGTTTAGCATATAATATTTTGGTATGAGATGTTAACTCTCCATGGTGACAAAATCTTGGGGGTTTTACTTTAAAAAACTATTAGAAAGTGATGTTTTCATCTGGTAATCAATTTTGCTAGAGCCGACATTTTTTCTTCTGCGTTAGCTAAATCACAAAGAATGAACTTCTTTGGAATGTAGCTTTTAATCTGCTAATTTGTATGTCTCATCTTTAATAAATGGAGTAATGTTTTGAAATGGAAATTTATTATTTATAATTATATATTATGAAGAAACAAAAGAGATAAATTATGGCAGAAGGTCTTAAGGCCTTAGCATAGTTTAAAACTGCTCTGTAATATGGATTTTTCTTGGGCCATATATATACTTCATTTTCTATTGCTTTTCTCTTTTTTTAGCCACTGTTCCTAGAGGTTTAATTACAGTAGAGGCTGTTCTTAACACTCTTAAATCTTGCTTTTTCATCTGATTTCAACCTTTAAAAAAAGTGAAAACACCAATTTCTTGGGAAACCATTAACCTTTTCTAGATAGCCTTTGTGGTCCAGTAAGGCCTGTAGAGGCTTCATTCTGAAATCCTCTAGTACCTGCTCTGTTATTTGAAATTAGAGTTTCTGTAGAAAAATAGATGACTTCCTAGAGGTTGATTATGAATATATATTTAATTAAGAATTAGTGGAGGATCTATTATTATGTGTAAGGCTTTGTCTTGAACAGTGCCAAACCAAATGAGGAAGAAAGGAATTAGAAAAAGATAAAACATTTCTATCTTAGATTGTTTTAAATTCGTGTTTAAAAATTTTACTTTTCTAAAGGCAGTAAATAAATGTACTCTAGATCAAAATGCTTTGTGTCATAAATAGTAGAGGAAGTAGCCACAGGTGACTTTCTTGTAGGTAATTTTTCTTTTCACAGAAGTGGTTTAATACTCCAGTCAAACGTTTTCGATAGGTAAAATCACATATGTTGAATTAACCTTTTCGATAGGTAGGGTATCACATATGTTGAATTAACCTTTTAAGTAGAGTTTTAAACATTTAAAGGCATATTATGCAATACTTAAAGGTTTTTATCCTGTGATATTGAGTGTGTATAGCACTACATATTCTTTGCCAATTTTGTCAAAGCTCTTTGGAGAATTGAAATAGCTGAACTATTAAGCATTTTGCTTATTATGCTCACATTAGTCAGAAACATTTGCCGTGACAGTATTAGGCTTTCTTATAGCAAATTGGGATTGTATTAGATTTTAGAATTAGGTTAACTAGAATTACATCACTTATGATAAACTTGGTATGGTATAATATGGGTTTGGGCCATTTTTCCATAAATAAAAAACAAATTTTTGTGGTTATATCATTTAGAACCTCATAAAAAATGTGCCCAGTGGTGGGTTATTCTGAGGGTGTATGTAAATATATATTCACCTGCATACATCTTGCATTATGTGTATTATGCTTACATATTGAAAAACATTTTAGAAATGAATGGAAGCTTTGGAAAGCTAAGTAATATTAAGTAAACTGTTTATTTATATAGAGATGTATACATAATACAAACATTTGCTTAGAATTAAGTTGACCTACGTAAATATGAGCTAAATTACTGCCCACGTGCTTCAGCTTCATTTCCCTCTGCGTTCCAACTGACAACTTTATGATCCTGAATTATATTTTTTAAACACAATATGCTACCATGCCTAGAATAATCCTTCCCTCAAAATATTTTTTTGCGAATTCATCATTTCCCCCCAAAAGACCTTCTCATTTATGCTATACTTCTCCCCTAACATTCCCTTCCTCTGTATTGCCTTTGTACTTGGCATATATTTATATTAGTTTGGGTGTCATATAATGTTGTGATTATTTGTTTACTTCTGTGTCCCCTGTTATATAATCCCTCACTTGTATTTGTATCCCTAGCACAATGCTGGGTGATAGATACTGAATGAATGTGATTAAATTAATGGAGCCTTATTACCTCATATTTTTGTGTTCTGTGAATTTACGCATTTGAAATCAT